GAACTAATCGGGGCTAATTAGGCTTTATCGCAGGGTAATAGCTTGTATTAATTGCCTCGCGGGCCAACTGTTGAGGAATTTGGCGAGTGATCCAATTGAAACTGACAAGTTTATTCCGGCTATTTAATATTCATTATATTCTAATAGGACACTTGTTTGCATGAATACAACAATTAGGCTTGTGAGCAACACGGTAGGCCTACATTTCCATTTGCAGAGCTCAAATCTTAGTTAGTTTTCATCATTATTTTACAAAAAAAAATTAATCTTAATAAATTATACTCATATAGATTACTGCACAAACAAACGGTAACACAGCGTTTTATTTCACGTGGAACTCATATAACTACCCCACCACCACCACCACCACCATAGGCACCTTAATATTTTCAAAGACAGAATCAGGCGGAGTTCAGTGTAATGTAAGGTAATAAGCCCACTGCTGCTGTGCTATGCAGGGCTTTGCCAAACCATCCTGTCACCCTCAAAATAATAATAAAAAAAAATGTCTATCATTTTTAGTCTAAAGGGTAGCCTAATAGCAAATCTGGATAATAAATTTAAAGCAATCTGGGCTTATTTGACTATCACCTGGTAGATTTTTTTGACGCTGAACTGGCAAACAAATCACATCGGGACCTGCCACAATCAGACGTTTTATCTACCTGAGTTTGTTTTCAAGTTTAAACTCTAAAACATCATTTATTTATCCCTCACCCTAGTCTCAACTCCCTCTCCTTCCTCAGAAGAAAGAAATAATAATGTTTATTTAGTCCTCATTATTAAGAGTTATCTCCAGTCATTCAAAGACCAAAGGGATTTCAAACATGACATCATAGTTACTGCAAGAACTGACATATCGTGCAGAGGATAGGGCCTGTAGTCTTACATAGCCAAAATTGATGTGCAACAAAAATAGCAACCCTGAAACATCAATGCAGGATGTAAATGTATCTACTCGCGAGAATGTTTGATCATTAATCAATTAACATTTGTGAAACAAAATAGTCCGTCTTTGGAGAAAAAAAAACGATGAAAGCAGGCGAGCCACCACCACGACATTTAGAAAAGAGCAAAAGAAATAATTAATTGCCTGCATGTTTCTATTTATATTGGTTACAGTAAGCCATTAGCCCCCTCCTCTCTGTGCCATCCTATCCATGAAGGGCAAAGGTAGGCCTAAATGTGAAGCAGGTCTGGACAGGAGGAAGAGTCTGGATGAGGGTGGCTGTAGTATGTGTGTGTGGGAGGGGGTAAGTTAAGTTAACCCCCCTTTTGATCCAAACACATCACTTCTACCTTACTCAAGGCTGAATATTTTGAAGGCCCCAACAGCTGAAACCATCTGCAGGCTGACTATATTATGCAAATGTGAGGCCTTTTAAGCGAAAATTTAAGAAATAAAAGTCTTCCTGGATACATTTTTTAAATAAATTGCCGTTTTGATTTCTGAATCTCACCTGCTGGAGGTTTCTTTTCCCTGTGACATTACTGCTGGAACTCCGCAGCCAGAGACATGCGGGCCACTAATTGCACGAATCAGAGGAACTCATTAAATCCATAATCGCGACAGATTTATGTTTTTAAAAAAGTGTGTACAAATAAAAAATAATTATTCTCAGGAAAAAAAAAAAATAGGAACCAGTGGGTATTTGTCCTCCCCATGAGAGCCAGTGAGCATCACTCACTCTGTGCTGGGTGTCACAGCAGTCACAGGGAGGCATATGGCTCTCAGCTGCCCCCCGCATCTAAAACCCCAACCAGCTCCGGTGAAGTTCAAGGTCTCTGCAGCCAGTGACCATCAGCAGACCCTGCTGTCTGGATGCCTCTCTGTGAGTCCCAAATAGTACAAAATAATATTAGAATTTAAATGCTTTTATTCTTCTTCTTATTATTATTTTTATTATTATTGTTATTAGTTAATTTGAATTTGGCTTGAATTGCTATTTGTGACGGTTCTTCAGTATGCCATGCAGACATTTGATGATTTCTACTAGAAACAGATATGTCAATATTCACTATTACCTTAAATTTAGACAAGAGTGCCAGAAATAAAAATAAAAAATGAAACGCCTCTGTACGAATTTTAAGAACTTAACGCAGGGACGTTTAATTTGCTTTTCAATCTCACGTTGTTTACAAGAGCTGCAGCCTTTTCGCATTTCATAAATATAAATGAATGGCTCATATATGCTTCCGTTGAAATGTGTCCCTTTTTTAGTTGCTATTTAAATTGTTAAGGCACCGACTGAACATAACAATGGAGACCTTTCATTTTTAAAGCTGGAAAGTTATATCGGAGGCTGCGTGCGAGGGCCCCTGATTATACAAATGTTTTCGTTAGTTCAAGCAATCAAAAGCTTTAGCCATGCACTACTGTTAACAAAAAACATTTATTATTTATTCTTTTAAATAAGAACTTGTACAAGCTATAACATTACAGTGGAGATACACACTGGTTGCAATTTAGACGCAACTTAATTAACAGCCTATAATGTTACATTTAGTGAAAGAGCCTGCAGTGTTCGGGCACTAATGATTACTTGAAAAACATTCGGTAAAAGTCACAATATGTGTTTGTTTATGTGAATACATTTATTTAATCATAGCAAATTAATTATGCAATTAAGACTTCGAGTTCTGAAATGGCCTCTGTTCAGGAAAATAAGAGACACTGTCACTATCTGGAGGATGCTACAGCTTCCAGGAATGAAGACAACCACTTGATTTCGATTAAATTGCAACCAGAAGCTCAGTTTTTGTAACAGATTCCAGCACTGATTTGCGCATGAGATGCCAAGTTGTCCAAAGTAATGTCATTTCAGAGAAAAGAAACAGTTTCTCTGACTTTCATCAGTGAAGTGATTTATTGAAGTGGGTATATATTATGATCAGACATATATCTGAAATAATTGTTTTCTTGTGCAATAATGTTACAAATCTTTGCAACAAAAAAATAGAATTCTATCTAAGATTAAAACAATTAATTTGAATTAATTAATAAAATATGTTTCAGATATTTTGAGTGATAAAACAATGTTATCTGTTATCCGTAGATTGTCACATGTCACATTGTCACCCATGTTGAATAAAAATAAAAAGTTGATAACAAAAAAAAGCTGGATTGTCCCATCACATGGAAATGTCTGTGAGATTAAAAATGGCTAAACTCTATACTGAAGGGACACCTAAACTTGTTTTATCTTTTCTTTTTTTAACTTAAAATTTAAGGCAGACCAGATTTACTCATGAAATAAGGCATAAAGAAAGAAAGAAAAAAACAAGAACACGAATAAAAAGTAAATGAGGATGAAAGAGCAGACAATACAAAGATGAAGGAGAAGAGAAAGAAGCAACAGAATCGAATGCATAGATGCAGTCAGTGGATGATAGGTGGTCCCAGGTGTCTGTAATGACATCAGAACGAGAAAGATCCTGCATCTGCATAGTGGAGGAGATCCTGTTTCCTCAGAAAGTCTCTTCATGAGAGACAGGTCACGGCCACTAGCCCCTGTCTGACACATAATTGGTGATATTGATTATAGGTTATCATATGCTGCAGGCCATTTGTAAGATAATGCCGCAGGGGTTAATTTGTCAGCCATTAACCTTTTGGACTGGTGGATATGTATGTGTAAATTAACAACTTCTAAATGGGTCACCTAGTCTCATCTATATTGAATGCTAACGTATTTAAGTTATATTACAATACAACACCGTGCATGGTGCCAGTTTAAACACATTTGACAGGTGGGTGATCGAGCAGTAAAAGGTTAAGATTTCTGAAAGACCATCATGTGCTATCCAAATTAACCCCCCACCCCTCCAGAATAACACCTACAAGGAATTCTTGTGCTGACCCTTTAGAAAAATATCTCATCATCTAAAAATGAATGTGACATTTACAGGAAACACCTTTTCCTCTTCCTTCAAATCTGTGAAGTAGCTGCTAGCTTACATGCCTAGAGGACTCTGAAAGTTGATCCAGGCTGTCAATCCAAACTAATGGGCCAGGGTAAACTTAACAAAAAGACAAGTCACTTTGTGGTAATGTAGGAACTAAAACTTCCATGTGACATCAATTTTATACTCGTTCAGGTGAAGTTACATGAATATGATGAATGCCTGCTAAATAAGCAGTAAATATGATATGAACTGAAAACTCATGTCTGTCACTGTATTAACTAATGCACTTTGATGTTAATAATCACATGTATCCTTAATACTAGAAAAGGCAATGAATAAAAATGGGTTAATATTTGTTGTATTTCTGGTAAATGTGAGTTTATTAACCATTGCTGTCTTCAAGAAAATATAAATTAACATCTCCCTATTTCTATCATATATGAATTTGTTATTTCAAGGAAACTGCAACATTTCAGTAACCACTTCAGGGTAAAAAGTAACAATGCTGCAAAGCAGTCAAACAGATTTAACTGCTTCAGAATCATCACAGTTTGCCACATATTTTGGTTTTCATCTCAGCAAGGAAAAACACATCAAATACACAAAATCACAGAAAAGAGAAAAGCTGTAACCTTTGAGAAAGTCGATCAGAGGCGATCAGAGGTGTAGAAGCACCTAGTACAGCCCAGAGCAGTAAAGACAACCCACTTCAACTTGAAAAACATGACATTTGCCACCTCGGAGCATAAAACGTGTCTCTCTAACTCTACACCTGTAAACCTGCAAACCCACACAATGCAGATCAACAGGGAAACCAAGCTATTCTCACACCAGCAAACACTATTAAAAGTTACTCAGTAATGGGCGTGCATGCTGTGTACAGTGCGCGTATGTATGCGTGTGTGTGAGTGAGAGAGAGAGAGAGAGGGGGGGGCGGAGGGAGGGAGGGATAGAGAGGGAGGGAGGGAAAGAGACAGTGTGAAAAAAGTGAAAGCATGAGTGAGTGCTGGTCAGCAAATCAGTCAGTCAGCAAAGCTCAGTTGACAAAGTGAAACAGAGCAGGGCAGCTCCACAGAAAAGGAAGGCACAGGTACCTGTCTGGAGCAGTCCGGTGGCGGGATCAGCCCTCCAGCTTGGCATGCATTAATTATCCTCTAGAAAGATGGGCGCTCTATAGGCTCGCTCCTGACCCGGCACTCCTGCTGTCCACACAGTCTAAAGAAAAGGATGGATGGAGAGGAGCAAGAGAGAAAGAGGAAGAGAAATGGGAGACGGGGAGAGAGGACAAGGAGAGGGAGAGAGAGAGAGAGAGAGAGAGAGAGAGAGAGTCAGATCCACTGCTGCCCTGACACCATGACTGGTCCACATGAGATTGATCACACACTCGCACTCACACACTGAGGCCTCTGCAGTGACAGGGGGGAACTGCCAAGGAGTAGCATGCATTGTCTAGCCTGGGGACACACATGCACAGACGCACGAATGGCCACAACGCACGTGCACATGCTTGCATGTTAGAGACGCGCACAGACACGTGCATGCACTGACACAGAGAGACACACACAAGCGCACACACACTCGGCCTATGACTCACACGGTGACTTTTGGGTTTTAACTATAATTAAAGCTGTTTTTAAAATAAATCTTCCAGTTTTCATTTGAGAAAAAACTGGACTCAACTTGCCTTGTACTACTTTTTACGCATTCTGTCATCCAGACTATAAAAAGGATTTGGTGTTTCAGAAGCCCTCATTAGCATTCACTGACTCCCCTCTGCACATCTGTTCAGTAGTCTAATGCCTGTTAGGTTGCGGGCAGCTGAAAATGGACAGCAAAATAAAAAGGGTCAAAAGTCTGGCACTGAGAAGCGAGAGGACTGTGATTACGCACAATAGACAATAAAAGACATGCATATGAGCAGCGGCAGTGTGCCTGGCCTCTGCACCTTCAGGGAGGACAAGGTTCACACTAATCTCATGAATGCCTTACAAACACACGCACGCACACACACACGCACGCACACACACACACACACACACACACACACACACACACACACACACACACACACACACACACACACACACACACACACACACACACACACACACACACACAAATGCATGACATCTACTTGCAAACAAAACCATTGTCAGCATCCACCCTAGGAGCAAAAATTTTAAAACTGACATTTATATTCAAATGTGCTTTTTAAAAATGCTTTTAATTTTGATAAGTGTGTATTTAAGTTGCCAGGTTACAGGTTTACTGTCACTTTATTTTAGTGTCTTTTTTTTTTAAATAAAGTAATTGCTGACCGCATCCTTCCATTACATACACACTGTAAGTCAAATAAACATGAACTAGTGAGATATAAGCAGTGATGGTGATGTTGAAAATCAATTTGCATTGCATTAACAAAATATAAAGGCTAGCAGTTCAGTTCTCTACTGCTTAGAAAAATCACATTTCCCAAATCAACCGCCCCCTTCAGCCATCTTCTCCTGTCACCAGCCAGGAGGGGCCGTCTCAGTCAGCTGGCCTCTGTATGCAGATTTATCCAGATGGACATGGCGTCCAGACCTCCAGTCCCCCATAGACCCTCTGGCTGAACTTGACTCCCAGGACTACAGATGGGAGGGAGGGCCCCTCACCTTTGGTGAACCCTGAACCCCAACACCCTCACCCCCACTACAGCAGACCGCAGGCTGAGCCACCTATCCAGTATTAACAATCATTCCAGATTGAATTCAGGTCGCTTTCCCAACAGCTATCATCACAGATAGCTGATCAATACTGGGACATTATCACAGAACGCTTCCTCAAACACAGTGTCAACATGCGAGTCCTGGTCGGGAGTGTGTGTGTGATCACTGAGGTGGAAAGGAGCCGTGGCCTGGCGGTTACGCAGAGGAGCCTCAGAGAGGAGAACCCTTTGAGCAGAGCTTGAACCCTGGGGGGCTGCAGGTTTGACTGGCTATGTTGCTGAGCATGCTGGGCCACAACTTAAAAGGAGATCAGAGGGCTGTACCTCAGAGCAGCAAAGCCCTCTTCCTTCCTCCTCGTCTCTCTTTCGATCTCTCTCTCTCTCTCTCTCTCTCAACACTCTCAGCCATTTTCTCCACACCTTTACAAACCACCATACATTTCACTGCGAATTCTGGAAAAAATTATACCATTTGTGCACAAAATGCATTAAATATGCAATATTTCTTGTGCAGAAAGGCAGAGACACCTCCATACTACAGGAAACTACTGATCACCAAAATAATAAAATTTAAAATAATGCATTATGCTACTAAAATTCAATGCAATAAAATGCCAGTGACATTTTGGTTTCCAGTGGGTTTCCGATTCATTTATATATGATCAAACATAGATTCTCAGAGCTTTAAGTATCCATATCCTTCTCTTTCACCGACCCTGTGACCCTAGCTGCTACAATCAGTGTGCAGTCTGGGCTGTTGTCTTGCTTGGCTTCCCTTAGGGTCTTTCTTGTCATTCTAACCTTGTTTCTGATCCGGCCCTGCTCTGCTCTCCTTCCCTATGTTCTGCCTGTGTAATGCCGTTTTCCCACTCCCACTGGTAAGTGTCTCATATATTGGCCTTATCGGAGGCCTATCTACACCGCACAACATTTACCTTGCTGGAGCCCAGCAGAGAGAAAGCCTGTATCTTCATCAAACACCAGTCAGCACAGAGAAAAAGGGGATTGAAGGACTGCTTTATGAATTATTGAGATTAAAATCTTTCTCTTATTACCTATCCTTTCCTTCTCCCATTCCATTTTCTTCCCTTTCTTTTTCTTTTTTGGTTAAATTTTAAAACATTTATATCCCTCTGTTCTTGAGTAAACGAGCTCAGGGCCGATTTTCCATTAAAAATAAAAGTTGAATAGAGGAGGAAAGAGAAGAAGTATCTAGCTTGGTCGGTTTTAGTTTTTAGTCATCTTTAATCAGCCGGTGTTTCTGTGCAGGGGAAGAAAAGAGTCAGATGAAACAACAGCGTAATGATTTTTTTCTTACTAGTTTTCCTCAGTCTTGGATGTTGGAAACTTAAAAGGAATGTAAAAGAAAGACTTTCTTACCTTTTATTATTACTGTCAGTGAGTCCTCACTCATTCTGACTTTGTTCAGTGGTCTAAGTAATTTTCCAACTTATTAAAATAATGATGCTTTAACAATGTACTTGCCATTATCCTAGGTCAGCTATTTTTGAATGGTGGATTCGTGGCTGAGAGCCTGAGCATTTCTTTAATGATAGTCTGCCTGTATCAAAGAGACTGGCCTTAACCTGTGACATGATCTCTTTCTATTTCGCATTTTACCTCCAAATGTCCTACTTACTGGTTCAAACTGCATTAATTCATTAGGAAAACTGCATGATTAGAAGCACATGGACTACAGTAGTGTTTCCACTCACAAAAATACAAGCTACTCTTTTGTCAATCACAAAACAGTTTGATTTGACAAAGCTGTCATGAAGAAAAAGAGTGGTGTTCAAAACAAAGCATTTCTTTTGTACATTTCGACTTTTCATTCATTTCAATCAAACAGAAGCTGACATCGCCAATTAATTCCACATGAGAGGATCGGGCTTTCTGATTGTCGTAATATTTAGTTTAAAAAAAAAACTTAAACCAGTGGACTGAAAAAGAAAATTGTTCATACTTTGACAAAACTCTGAATTGTGTCTTGGTCAAGGTTTGCATCAAAAGAGCATGCAGATTTCCATAATTCTGCCTATTCAATTCCATACATAAAGCACACAATGGACATAAAGAAGCTGAAGGCCATTATTCAGGGAGACGACCCGTGTCTGTCTTGCGGGTATGTCCTCTTCTCTGAAGGCCCATCATAACTAGAGCATAAGAGCAAAGGTCATGAGGCCCCATAGGAGCCATCAGGATCCAGGAAATAATCCAAGCACTCCATAGAGGGCACTAATCGTTGGCCAGTGGACGAGTCAGACTAGAAGACAGAGTTAGCTGCATTACAGTGCGCAGCTTAAACAATGTGTGGATCTCACATACAATCTGTGGTCTTGGGTCTGCTATTTATAATGCAGATGTGATACAGGGGGCTCACCGATGTAGTCATACACCATGAGCAGTGTGTGTTTAAATGTGCTCTTAATAAAATATTTCTGGGGCTGTACGGAGTCGTGGTCCCTGCGCTCATTAGAGGTCTCTGACCAGCTTGATAAGTGCGGCTCTGCTCCATAATGATTTATTAAGGCTGGGGGTGGGGAAGGCTGGTAGGTCCAAACTGCCTCAGGACACTCCAACCACAGAGACATTTAAGGGTAAAGGCTTGGAATAGAGGGTGCCTCTGAACAGATTTACATCATCCAAGATGCATTTCAAAATGAATTATGTAAGACGAAATGAAATACATAGGAGTTTCACAATTTTCTGCCGCCTTTTTTCCCCCAGTTCTTTTACTTCTCTTCCTTCCTCCCTTCCTTCCTTCCGATGCTCTCGTCTGCATCGCCCTGAGGTAAATTCATGGCCATTTGCTTTATGCAGCAGAACACTAATGGACAGACAGGGGGACATAAGGGATAGTGTTTAAAAATGGATGGAAGAGAGATGGTCAGATGTGCACAAACAAACAAGTCTGACTAATTCACAGGTTTAGAATGAGCCGTGTTGGGCTGGGCAAGGATGGACTAGAGATGCAGCCCCGATGAGTAGAGAATAAACTTATGTAGGTTAGGGTGTGTGAGGAGGTGGTTTGTGCGGTAAGGGGCTTTGTCACACTGCTGTTTTCCCACTGTCAGTCAGCACATAAGTCTGCAGGCTGACTTGGTTGCAAAGCGACCAATAGTTGCTATTTGATCTAACTGGTCTGTCACATCCAAAATAAATATATTTCTGTCACAGCTGTGCAAAGGTAGAATTCCTATGAAAAACACTCACTTTAAATTGTCAACAGGTTCTTTTATAGAATGTAAATACTGATACTTTCTTTGGTTGGGAAAAAAAGAGCTTTGGATAAGCAAGTAGAAAGCAAGCAATATTCACAAAATGGAGTGAATGAAATGAGTTTAGTTTTTAAAGCTGTACACACTTCCATGCTAGAAATACTAATTACAAAAACATTGTTTAAAAATATGACTAAAATATGACTAAACAAATCAGAAAGCATGTAAGGCTTGGACACTG